GAGAGCTGGGTGTTTGCTCCCTCAGCTAGAGATTTACTGCTAGCCTCTCCAGCATTATACCTTAGATCGAGTTGATGACTTCTCTAAACATAGTGTTTTTGGGAATGCACCATTTCCATCTATGGGCTGCTCTTTCAGAGTGCCACGAGGGCCCCTTAGAACGGTATTTTTAAATCCGTGTTATGGTAAGTGTGCACGTGAAGTCTTTGTACACTTTCTAAAATCCACACTGTGGTAAGTTCGCACGCTAGTACTTTGCGTTCTTTCTAAAATCCTGTATGCTTCATGCCCTTTCTTGAGCTGGTTAAGCCACGGTTCCACTGGTAAGCCACTTGGGCTCCACTCCACCTATGTATCCTCCGGATACCCAGGGTGTTGCTACTAGGGGTCTGTTGAGACAGTTCCTTCAGCATATGCAGAGCAAGCGGTAGCCCCTGTGTGACAGGCCAAGACTTAGTATGATTCTAGGCTCTTGGTCGTATTCCCTTAAAGGAATCTATTCCTGATTCCAAGCCTTGAGCTCTACACCGGGCCCAAGAGTTCTGGCCCTAACAGGTAAGTTTTTGGGGTATGTAGCCTAGGCCTTTGGCCTAATGTCACTGACAGCCGTCTTAAAGTCCCAGGGGCAACTCCCATGGCTATGGTAAAGTTGGTACTTAGTGCTCGCCATGGTTTTCTGGCATGCACTCCTCTCAGCATGGTGGCATGGGTATACCGTTCCCCATAGCGACCACTATAGGACGCAGTTCGAAGTTCCCTTGAAAGGGAACGTCTCAGCTTACGTGTGTAACCATGGTTCCCTGAGACACTGTGTCCTCTAGGTTTCCTGCCATGCTTCGGACACAAGCTTCAGACGAAGAAGTGGATGATGTGTTCTCCCGGCGCCTATTTATACTATAGTCGCACCGGTAGTAACGTCATGGGCTGTCGTCGGCCAAAGTGTTGTTGGTGTTTTATGAATGTATGCTTCAGACACGGGTCACGACGAGGCGTTCCCCATAGCGACCCCTAGAGGACGCAGTGTCTCGTTCCCTACTCGGGGAACCATGGTTACATACATAACCTGAGATGCTCTCTTCCGCTTTTTTGTGCATGGATGAATAAATACAGACAAAATTACATCAAAATGTGTGTGGGCCTATTTTTTGTTGTGAATGTCCCAATTGAGGTGCAGGATGTGAAAATTTCAGATAAATGTTCATGTTATATATTTTGGTTGCATTTGTGAGTTAATAGAAATGTAGATGGTTGTTTAAAATAGGTATATATTATCATAATATCGATATATCGATCGATATACTCCTGTATTGAATCGAATCGTAATCGTATCGTAGAATTTTTTGAGGTATTGGCAAATATCATATCGCTGGGTATGAGAATCGATATCGTATCGTATCATGACGAATCATCCGATTTACACCCCTAGTTAATTACTCCTGCTGTGGACTTCTGTTTGCTCAAAGCCAATATTATAGGATTTGAAATGAAAGGAAAACAATTTTGCAACTACTAGATGGTATGGTTTTATTTTTTGTTGGCACTGTTAAGTACTAATGTAATGCATGAGCTAGCATGAGAATTTTTTTTTTTTTTTTTTTACCAATGGTATTTATTACCAGATGGCTTTTAATATTTTAAAGAATCATACACCAGTGGGCTATTATACATCATTATGTTTTTACCTCTGTTAGACCATGTGTTATATTTGTGTGTTTTCACAGATTGCTTTGCAGACATTACTATAGCCCGTCAGGGATACCCACGGATGGCCATTTCTGCCTGTTTCGGAGGCATTATCTTTAGTATCTTTTAACATATGTGCTTTAATAAATATACAGTGGGTACGGAAAGTATTCAGACCCCCTTAAATTTTTCACTCTTTGTTATATTGCAGCCATTTGCTAAAATCATTTAAGTTAATTTTTTTTCCTCATTAATGTACACACAGCACCCCATATTGACAGAAAAACACAGAATTGTTGACATTTATGCAGATTTATTAAAAAAGAAAATCTGAAATATCACATGGTCCTAAGTATTCAGACCCTTTGCTCAGTATTTAGTAGAAGCACCCTTTTGAACTAATACAGCCATGAGTCTTTTTGGGAAAGACCCAACAAGTTTTTCACACCTGGATTTAGGGATCCTCTGCCATTCCTCCTTGCAGAGCCTCTCCAGTTCTGTCAGGTTGGATGGTAAACGTTGGTGGACAGCAATTTTTAGGTCTCTCCAGAGATGCTCAATTGGGTTTAAGTCACTTTCTTAGAAAAGAGCATATATACATGCAAGTGGATACTATATACTGTATAGTCTTTTAGTGTTTACCTGAGAACATGTTGCAAGCTTTTAGTCTGTTGAATTATCCAATTTAGATGAGTGATGGAGTCTGATCTGTGTGTTCTGTTGTGTGGTCAGCTGGAACCAGAGGGGATGCTGTGCTGGGTTCTCTCAGGAGCACTGGGTCTGTCTCTCATCCTCTCCTTCATACTGGTTCCTCTTCAGTGTTTTCACCTGAGCCGAGTCTATGGCATTTTTCTACTGATCTTCTACATTGTCTTTCTCCTCGTTGCTCTGCTCACTGAGTTTAGAGTTATCCAATTCTGACACCAGCAGAAACACTAACTGAACAAATGCAAATTTTTTTGACTTTCATAGAAATGTATAAGCATATATATATGTACTGTATATTTTTGAAGATCATGAGTCACTAGTACACTAGTTAAATTGTTTTCAAACAAATCTTAAATTATGAGATTGAAATTATTAAAATTAATTTTATTAAACGGGATACTTGCAAATATGCGGTGGTGTTGTGTTTTTCTTTTGTATTGATTGAATTCAAGCAAAGTACGAAGTCTGATGCGATTGAACCTGTTTTTATACAGTCTATGGATTGAACTGGTTGAAATTGTCACATCATCAAATCTCAGCAAAAAAAAATGTTTTTTGTTAATTTACATTTGTTTGTAAAATAATATAAATGCATAATGTTAAAATAAAAATAAGTATTTTTATATACAACATTTAATTATTGAACACTTACACATTTTTGAACGATTACAAGTTGTTGTTGTTTTATTAGCTAGTAAACTAGTAAAACTACACATTCTGAACAATTATAGTTTTAAGCAGTGTATTAGTAGTCAGGTTTTTACCTACATTTTAAATTATGCATTGTATTTTGTGTTTTCGGGTTACAATGGATAATGGATAACAGATAATGTCCTGGAAAAATACTAGTACCTTTTCCATTTTACTAGATATTTTTCTTACAGTGTACTAACTGATCAACAATCGCAGGTACAAGCTACTAACAAGGTGTATCATAAATGAACAATTATTAAATTGTTATTATTATCAAATTGAACAACTGCAAACAGCAATAACTTAATTCACGTGATGTGTGTACTGCTAGCTACTGCTTTGGTTTCCTCTTTTTGTGAAATTTAGATGGAAAACGTGTGCCTTTTTATTGTTTGAGTAACTTATCAAAACTTGCTAAAAGTAGCCAAATAAAATTTACAAATAGCTTAATTTGTTGCTAGGTGCTTTTGGATGAAAATGTTGCTAGGGTAATCTGAAAAGTTGCTAAATTTAGCAACAAAATTGCTAAATTGGCAACACTGTGTAGTTGCTGAAGTAGCTGTAGTATTTGCTCCAGACCATCAGGTGGCAGTGTCGCATCAGCGCTCTTTCTGAGCCGTCCGCGGATGATTTTAAGTAGGCTGAGGTTACCTAGGAGTGCAATTCAATCCACGTTTGCCTGTAGCGTACAGTCAGTTAGAAATTACGCCAACCGCAAGACTTGATCCGTTAGGTTTGTTTGTTGTTACATATAATTTCTTTGGCCGAAAGAAGCGATGTCAGGCAGCTGCGGACGGATTCCTCCTCCTTTCCCTGATGATGAAGATCAGGAGGCAGAATCAGACACTCGAGTGCTGGACAGCGACGAGGATGATGAAGATGAAGGCGAGGACATATTCACCGGCGCGAGAGTGAGACACTTGCTTCAGAATGAATAACTAGTTTGCATTATCTGATTAAGTCATATGTGGGAAAACATTTAAGTCTGCAGCGGTTAGTCTCGTAATGCAGCTCAGCAACTGCACGAACTGCAATTTTGTCATGGTTATCAGCTGTTATGTTGGCATTGTGTTGATCTCTTTTTGCAGAGTAACCCGATCACACCCACCTCAGCTCCTGATGAGTGCGATATCTTCAGTGAGGAGGGCTCGTACATCAGGAGCGATGTCCATCACGCCACTAATGGCCTTCACCCTGATGAAGAAGAGCTGGATCTGTTCACTGGTATTTCGCACCACTCCATTACTGCACCATTACTCATAATGAGCAATAAATGCGTAATGACACTTGACTTGACCTGCAGGCCAGATGGCAACAGAACTGCATGCTGGAGAACAAAGCATTCCATCTTTGTCTTTAAAATATCGTGTCAGGCTGATGCAGATCACTTTAAGATGCAATCTGAGAAGTAAAAAGTACTGACAATTGTACTTGGAAGTGAAGGTATATTAACTAAAAATCTATGAATTAATAAACTATTGTCAAAAATTGTGCTCAATTAAAATTAGGCATATGTACCTAGCCAAAGAGTACTTGAGTGGAAGTATCCACATATAATTGAGCACTATCATTATGATTGAGCACTTTTATTAGCTTCAAATTGGCATTTGAAAACAAGAGACAGTAGAGATGTTCTAATTTTTGTATTTTTGAGGCAAATATTATAAAATAATATTTTCTCATTGTTCTAACCATGTAAGAATCCAGGGCACAGCAGATGTTAAACTGAAACCAGTTTCCTGAAACCTGTTACCATAATATTCTCAGCTAAAATTATCAGTAGGCGATTTTACAAGCATTTGAATATAGCGATTTTTAGTAGTTTTTATAAAAACACTTTACTAGAGCATGAAGTACGTGTCTGAAAGGGATAGTTTTTCTGTGTACATGATTTACTGACTTAGTTACGTTTGGATAGCTATTTTTAAATAATTGAGGAAATTTTTAAATCATGATATGCAAGTATAAGAAATTGTAATGAAGGAAAAGGCTATTATTTTTCGTTGTACAGTCATGGCCAAAAGTTTTGGCAATGACATAAATTTTGTGTTTTGCAAAGTTTGCTGCTTAAGCTGTTGTGGTGTTCATTCACATTATTTCTAGATTATTGTGTAGAGGGATCAGATCACTATCATTCTAATTAGATAGTAAGAGCAGACTGATTGCTATAAAATGAGGGAAGAAGCGCTTCCAATCATTGTGTTCTTGTTAGCAATGGTTACCTCCAATAAAACACATGCAGCCATCATCGCTTTGCATCAAAATGCTCTCACATGAAAGGAAATTGCTACAAAGAATATTGCACCTGAAA